AAGTGAAGTAGGCTTTGTTAAATTTCTGCAATCATAACTGGAAGTGCACAGCCCAATTTAATTTTCAGACTTCCTACATTTAGCCAGTGACATCCAGACAAGACAGAGGCCTATAGATTCCATAGCGTGTACTAAAGCCAGGTCTCATTTATCCATAGATGTATAATTTTAGCTTTGTTTTTCTGTCTTGACTTACTCTCTACCCTTCCTTTTTTTGTGTGTGTAAATAACAGCTTAATTGAGATATAATTCATATATCATACAATTCATCCATTTAGAATGCACCATTTAGTGCCTTTTAGTGTATTCACAGAATTGTGCAGTCATCACCACATTTAATTTGAGAACACTTTCATCACCTCAAGTAGAAAATCAGGACACCTTAGCCATCACCTATAAATCCAACCACCAGTTCTAGTCTGCGATTAATCTTTCTGTCTCTGTAGATTTGTCTATTCAGGACATTTTAAATAAATATAATTTTTTTTTTTTTTTTTTTTCTGGAGTGCAGTGGCGCAATTTTGGCTCACTGCAACCTCTGCCTCCTGGGTTCAAGCAATTCTCCTGCCTCAGCCTCCTGAGCAGCTGGAATTATAGGCATATGCCACCATGCCTGGCTAATTTTTGTGTTTTCAGTAGAGATGGGGTTTCACTATGTTGGTCAGGCTGGTCTCGAACTCCTGACCTCATAATCTGCCTGCTTCGGCCTCGCAAAGTGCTGGGATTACAGGCGTGAGCCATTGCCCCCGGCCATAAATATAATCATATAATATGTGGTCTTTTGTGATTGACTTATTTCATTTAGCAGAATGTTTTCAAGTTTCATCTATATTATGATATATCCATTTTAGCTTGTATCATGACCTCAGTTTTTTATTGCCGAATAATATTTGATTGTTTGAATATATTCCATTTTTAAAATCTGTCTATCATTTGATGGAAATTTGGATTGTTTCAATTTCTTGGCTGTTGTTATAATGCTGCTATGAGTAATTTCTGTCCGAGTTTTTGCATGGACATTTGTTTTTCATTTCTCTTGGAGTTTTACCTGGGAGTAGAACTGCTGGGTTGTATGGTACCTCTATGTTTAACCCATAGAGTAACTGTCAGATTATTTTCTAAAGCGATTGCACTGCTGTGCATTCCCACCGGCAGTATGTCAGAGTTCCAGTTTCTCCACATCTACGCAAACAATTGTTATTATCTGTCTTTTTGATATTAGCTACCCTGCTGGGTGTGAAGTAGAGTCTCATTGTGGTTTTGATTTACATTTTCCTGATGGCTAATGATGTTCAGCATCTTTTCATGTGCTTGTTGGCTATTTGTATATCTTCGTTGGAGAAATATCTATTTACATCCTCTGTACGTTTCATAAACGGCATCATTTGTCTTTTTATTATTGATTTCTTTATGAATCCGACATATAATTCTCTCATTAGACATTGAGTTGCAAATATTTTCTCCCACTTAGCAGGTTGTCTCTTCTCTTTGTTGGTGGTGGCCTTTGAAGTGCAGAATTTTAATTTCAAAGAAGTTCAATTTATCAGCTTTTTTTCTTTGATGGCTTCTGCTTTTGGTGTTATACCTAGGAAATTGTTGCCAAGTCAAGGTCACAGCGATTTATGCCTGTGTTTTCTTTTAATAATCTTATAGTTTCAGCTCTTAACATTTAGGTCTGTGATCCTTTTGGGGTTAGTTTTTGTATATGGTGTGAAGTAGCGGGTATAAATGAATTCTTTTGTGTTTGTATATTTAGTTGTCTTAGCACCATTTGTTGGTGAGACTATTCTTTTCTCCATTAAATTGTTTTGTCTCTTTTGTTGAAAATCAATTGGCATTTATGTAAGGGTTTATTTTTAGACTTTCACTTCTATTCCTTCAGTCTGTATATCTGTCCTTATGCCAATACCACACCATCTTGATTACTGTAGCTTTGTAGTAAGCTTTGGAATGGATAAGTATGAATCCTCCAGTTATATTCTTCTTTTCCAATATCTTTTGTTTTTGGCTATTTTGGAAATTTGCCTTGAATTCCCATATGAAACATAGGATCAACTCATCAATTTCTTTAAAGAAGCCAGATGGGATTCTGACAGGGATCCTGTTAAATCTGTAGATTAGGCAGGATGTATTGCTATCTTAATAATATTCTCTTTCAATCCATGTATCTAGGATATCTTCCCACTTAGTCTTCAGTTTTTTAAAAAGCATTTTGTAGTTTTTAGATATAAGTTTTGCAGTTTTATGTTTATCACTAAATACTTCATTTTTGATACTATTGCAAATATGATTATCTTAATGTTATTTTTGGATTGCTCATTGCAAATATTAATATATAGAAATATAATTAATTTTTGTATTGATTTTATGTATTGCAATATGCTGGACTCTTTTATTAGTTCTAATAGATTTTATTAATGGAATTACTAGGATTTTCCTGCACATAAGCCTGTTACCTGCAAATAGAGATATGTTCACTTCTTCCTTTTCAATCTGGATATTTTTAATTTCTTTTTATTTTTTGTATAATTGCCTTTTCATAACCCTCTAATACAATGTTAGATGGAAGTGGTGAGAGCTGTTATCCTTTTCTTGTTTCTGGTCTTAGTGTGAAAGCATTCAGACTTTTACTATTAAGTATGATAATAGTTGTGAGTTTTCCATAGAAATTTTAAAAATCATATTAAGGAGGTTCTCTTCTATTTGTAGTTTTTTGAGTGTCTTTTTTATGAAGGAATGTTTAACTTTATTATATGCTTTTTCTCTATCTTTTGATATAATCATATAAGATATCATTTGTCCCTAATTCTATTAATATGGTATATTACATTAATATCTCTTAAACCTTGCATTCATGGGATAACTTCCACTTGATCATTGTATTAGTTTGTTCTCACTCTGCTATAAAGAACTACCCAAGACTGAGTAATTTATAAAGAAAAGAGGTTTAATTGACTCACAGTTCTATAGGCTGCGCAGGATGCTTGGTTGGGGAGGCCTCAGGAAACTTACAATCATGGTGGAAGGGTGAAAGGGAAGCAAGCATGTCTTGTCTTCACATGGCGGCGAGAGAGAGGGCAAAGGATGAAGTCTTCACACCTTTGAACAACCAGATCTCTCGAGAACTCACTATCATAAGGACAGCAAGGGGGAAACTGCCCGCATGATCCAATCACCTCCCACTGGGTCCCTCCCCCAACATTGGAAATTATAATTCGACATGAGATTTGGGTGGAGACACAGAGCCAAACCATATTAATCATGATGTTCATTTTATGGCTTGCTGGGTTCTGTTTGCTAGTATTTTCTCGAGGATTTCAAAAAAAATCTGTATTCATCAGGCATGTTCATAAGTACAGCTTTATGTACATTATAGGTGCCCTGGGGAAATGGCAATTGGGACCCCAGTATTCTCAGCCTGCTGTGCTTGGGGAGAGTAACCATCCTATCAGTGGGACATTGGGGGAGCAAGGGATTCTCAACATCTTGCTGCACTTGGCCAGGAATTTAGCCTATGCAAATCAGAGCTGCAAGGCTGAAAAATCCTGGTGATCTGCCCATCTAGTATGCTATCGTGGACCTTGACTGTGAACTGGAGAAAGAGAAAACCCTGTTTTCTTGGCAGTGTTTTTCTGGAATGAGGAGTGGAGCTTTTGTCACACTGAGGGTAGAAGGAGGGAGTCAGTTATGCCTCAAGTGCCACTTTAATGAGGTTAACTAGAGTTTCTTGAATAAATGTTTCTTCATTTGCTGTATGGCCACAGGACAATATTTAGAAATGTTAATTTTTTAAAAATTATTTTTAGCACTTACGGGTATTTCACTGGGGACCATTTCTACAGATTTCTATATATCATCATTCCAGAAGAGGAACTGTTATGATGGCCCCCTTTTGTTTTTGATGAGAGTTTATATTAATAATTATGATACAGGTTTTATCTTCAAAAGCTTGGTTTTCCTACAGACAATACATTTCACATATAACTAGGAATTGGAGGGTAGCCTGACTTAGGAGGGTCCTGAGACTTGACTGAAATCCTGCTGTATTGAAGGTGAAAGAAATATTTATTTTCCTATTCTTGTTTTAAATATCTAAATATTGAAGATAGGTGAGAGTGGGTGTGGTCATTTGCCAGTAATTCCAGCACTTTGGGAAGCTGAGACAGGTGGATTTCTTGAGCTCAGGAATTTGAGGCCAGCCTGGGCAACATGGTGAAACCCCAACTCTACAAAAAATATAAAAAACAGTTAGCCAGACATGGTGGTGTGCACCCGTGGTCCCAGTTACTGAGGAGGCTGAGCAGGAGGATTGCTTGAGCCCAGGAGGTCAAGGCTTCAGTGAGCCAAGATCGTGCCACTGCAATCTATCCCAGGTGACAGAGTAAAAAAAAAAAAAAAAAAAAGGAGAGAAAGAAAAAAAGATAGGTGAGGTTAGAATCTGTGAAGAAGAGTTGCCAGAATTCACTTTCCTTGTGTCTTAGAAGCATAAACATTAACTCTATATCTTCTAGTCAATAAAAAATCTCTCCTCATACCTAACTAGCTAGATCAATGGGGATATGCGTTTTTAAAAGTCATGCTAGGAATTTTCTCTTTTAAAAAATTCTCTGAAGGAATACTTCTTTTATAAAAAGTCTGTAGGTTCTATTCTGGGCTGTATTTGTTTTTTAAATTCCTACACCTATACTAGGCTGCCCTGTATATCAAATCAGAGGATTACCTATCATATTATTGAAAGTTTAACAGGCCAAACTTTGTCTTTCTAAAGGGATTTTATAAAAATCTACGAATATCATGGCTTATTTCCGAACCAGCTTTTAATTGATATAGACCATTATGCAAATTAAACATGGATATTTTAAAATTTTGCAAAAATTTGCTAGTTAATGATCTGTATTTGTTCAAATTATCGTGATGTTACTTATTTTTTTCCTCATGTTTTGAAATGCTACTCGTTTCTGGGTTTCTTTAACCATTAGATATAAATGTCATTTTTTTAGACTAAACTTCAGTGGCTCTGTGAGGAACTGAAAGAGAGAGAAAACAGAGAGAAAAATCTGCGACACCAGCTGATGCTCTGCAGACAACAACTCAGGAATCTGACTGAACACAAGGAATCTGAGCTGCAGTGTCTCTTCCAACAGATAGAAAGGCAGGAGCAGCTTCTGGATGAAATACATCGTGAGAAGAGAGGTGTGTTAGTTGTTCTTTCATTTTTCTTTGTTTATATTTATGGAATCCTAAATTGGAAAAAGCCGACTTCTATTGCATTCAGTTTGAACTGTTTCCAAGCCCATCTCCTTTTCTTGTCTTTGTTGTCTTATCTTTCTTCACTTCTGGGATTAGAAGAGAAAACTCTTCAGCCACAGCTTTCCTCCTGTGTATATGATACCTGCATTCACTGGCTGTGTGCAGGAATTAATTGATAAGACATACTGCTTCTGTCTTAGTAAAATGCTGAAGTTTACATTTACTTCAGCAAAATACCCCTTAGTTCATTCAATACATATTTTATGCCCATTTTCAAGTATGCACTATTCTAGGTACAGAGGATATATCAGTGAATAAAGCGGAAAACAACAACAAAAACAAACCCCCTGCCCTTATTTAGCTTATGTTTTATTGGGTGGAGACAGAAATATTACAAATAGGTACATTATATAATATATGAGAAGGTTGTAATCACAGTGGAGGAAGCAGTAGAGTAAGGGAAGAAGAGTTTGGCTTCACATATTTTGGAACTCTTATTGAATTATTAGCATTGATTATGGCAGTGTGTCCAGTTAGAGGCCTATGATATGTTCTTTATAAAAGGAAAAGAGGGACTGAAGAAGGACCTTGGTTGTGGAATTGGAAAACAGGCAGCAAATGCAAAAGACGTTGTGGAGGACCAGCCCAAGGTGAGGAAGAGAGAGGACTCAAGGGAGATTCGAAGGTGTCAATGGTTTTGCCATTGTAAGAGGAAAGTCAGGAAGTAGTTGATTTGGTGGGAGAAAAAGGGGGCATGCATTTTTACCTAATTCTTAAAATCAAAACTGTAAGAAAAAAAAAGGTATTATGAAGGCCCAAACTTTTGTCACAAGAGATATTTTAATCTTTTGCTTGGTGTGTGAAAAATATTATAATAGTACTGCCTGGTGGATTTGGATGCAATGAACACTTTAGTCTGCTATCAAGCAAATACTGTTAAAGTTGAGGACTTATAAACAAGTTAATTACTAGAAATATAAGCAACATGCTCTTGGTAAAAAGAGTTTTGATTACTTCTGCTGGGGTCCCTGTGGGGACATTTTTGTAGGGCATGTCACTTTATTTTGATCTTAAAAACAAAGCAGGATTTCCATAAGGAAGAGAGGAAGAGAGATTTTCTGCAGAATTTATCTGCCTGGTGATTTAAACATATTTTTTTACAGTGGTACACATAGAGAAGGTAAAAGGCAGCAGTGATTAAGTTTCGATATTTCTGAGACATCAAAGTTAATTGTTAATACAAATTTATAAGTGATTCTCTTTACCATCTTAGAAACTTATCTATTAACTAGAACAAAGTTACCTATCTATAAGTGAAATATGACAGATACACTTTCTATTGGCTAGAATTAATGCCATCTCAGAGTTAATATTTTTAATTCGATTTAACGTCATAGTAAGTGACATTTGCCAGGTTAACTGAGGCCCTGGGACAAGGAGTTTCCACCACTGATTGCTGCTATATTCATAGATCTGAGTTGTCATACACTTTTGGGGTATTCTGGGCCTGTAAGTCTGGAAATTTGGAATTTGGAGATTCCTGTAGGAGAGGAAATTTATTAAGGGGTTAATGTCAGGAACCTCTTAGAAGTTTAGTAATTATTCACTGAGAAATTCTTCAGTTATAAGAGGTAACAAAGACAAGAGTAAAGAGCTGTAAACTTCAGCTGGGAGGATTTACGTATAATATAAGAATATGTTGAAACTATCAGGTTTACTAAAACTTAAAACTTATGTGGAAATTGAAAGGAATTTTTCAAAAGTTTTCAGAAGGAGAGGCATTTCTACAGTATAGTTGTATTCTTAGTGTACAAAATGCTAGTGAATATGAACAAATATAGAAGGCGATTTTCTTATTTTTTCCTGAAACTGAAATAGTGCCTCTTTTTTAAACAGGTGATGGATCTTGCTTTCCAGGCACTGGGTGGTTGTGGTTTTGGCTATTATGTGTACATAGCTTTCCTTCTTGGAATAATCAGAAATTGACATGGCCTGAAATTCCTTTACCTTAAAGATGAAATTTGATTTACTTACTATTTCCAGTTTGGGGTAGGTGCTATACTCTTTTGGCTTTGTTTTATTAGGTGGGATCTTCACCAATTCCTCACTGTCCTCATGCTGTAAGTACAATGTATAGAAAATAGTCATTCCCAGCAGCATGTACTGTACGAAATCTTCCTGAATCTGTCCCTTGCTGTCATGTGTCATTTGTTAGAATGCACATCTAAGGGTGAAATAAGCCATTGTCAAAGTTTCTTTGTTAGGGAGTTATCTTTTCTGAATAGTTATAAAAGGGAAAGTACTACAGGTAAGAGGATGAAGAAGAAAGAAAATGGTCTTCCAGCTCTTCAGAAAATAATGCCTTTGCAGCAGAGAACGAATGCCCAGATTATTTTTGCTTAACACCTGTGTCTTAGCCAAAAAGTAGGCAGTGAAAGAAATATACATCATTTCTATCGGTCTGTCTGTCTATCTATCTATATCTGTATACAGATACAGATACGAATCTTTCTCTGTGTGTGTGTGTGTGTGTGTGTATACATTTCACTAGTTTGAAGTTTCACCCTAGTAATGGCTGTGAGTGTGGCCTGTCCTGGCCCAAAATACTTTATTTCTTGTCTCAATGAATTTCTGATAGGCACACAGTTGAGAAATGTGTTTTCTTATATGTATCACCTAGCATAGAGTTTCTATGAAGGCAGTGATTTTTTAATGTTTTGCTGAATGCTGTATCTCAGTGCCTAGAAAGAACCTGGTGCACAGTAGACATGTAAAATATGTGTTGCACAACTGAATGAATAAGGGAATTAACGAAAACACTAAAGGAGCACAGTTAACAGGGGAGCCATAATATTAACATTTAGTGAAAAAAAAATCACTGTTGTGAAAGAAAGCATAGTTTTTCCCCAAAGTTTAGATTTAGAAAGAGATGATATCTTGCCATTGGCCCAAATTTATTTATTTTTCCCTGTTTTGAAATTTATTGGATACTTATTAAACTCTGCTTAACCAAAATAAAAATCAGCAAATATTTGGCAGAGGTTGATTAAGTAATTTAATTAGAGTTGTTTACATATTGTTTATGACACTCTGGAATTAGATAACAGTATTTGTCTTTTCTAATATTTCAGTTATGTATTACATTCTATGGTAGCAATGTTTAAATAATTTATATTTTATTCATTTCGTGACAGTATTCTCTAAGAGCTTCCTCATTCATTTAGGGACACAATAACATTGTTAGTATTAATTCTAGCCCCATTGTGTACTATGAGTTAACTCTCTAGTATAACACGTGAAAAAAATTCAGAATACCTAAATATATATATATATATAAAGAATATTAAAACTGTGTGTGTGTCTAAAACAGTCTCAGTCTTTAAGAGTAGAATGACTATAACTTTTAGAGTATGATTCTCTATGTACTACTAATCATAGAAAAGCTTGAGCCTGATTATATATGTTCAGTAGAAGGGGCTGTTAATGGGAGAGGTCGAACAGGTGGAAGTTTAACTGGGATAGCAGGATCCCAGAAGATATGAGTGGATGAGGTCTAAAGTAAAGGTAGAGGCCGGACACGGCAGCTCACGCCTGTAATCCCAGCACTTTGGTAGGCCAAGGCGGGCGGATCACGAGGTCAGGAGATCGAGACCATGCTGGCTAACACGGTGAAACCCTGTCTCTACTAAAAATACTAAAAAAAAAATTAGCCGAGCGTGGTGGTGGGCGCCTGTAGTCTCAGCTACTCGGGCGGCTGAGGCAGAAGAATGGCGTGAACCCGGGAGGCGGAGCTTGCAGTGAGCCGAGATCGCGCCACTGCACTCCAGCCTGGGAGACAGAGCGAGACTCCATCACACACACACACACACACACACACGCACGCACACATACAAAGTAAATAAAATAAAAAAAAGGAAAGGTAGAGAAGTGAATCTTGGAAAGAACAAGGGCAAAAGAGTTATGGATTTCTTGTTTTAATATCCTTTTAGTGTTTTGAATATGCTAGTATATTTGGCAGATTCACTTATCACAATAAGTTTTGTAGTGGTTTTCTTATTTTGACGGTTAGCTTCTCAGCATCTGTAATTGAGTCTAATTGATCTTTGCCTTATGTAAGCTCAAAGAAAGGATGAACATATACATAGCCTAGAAGTAGGCAGTAGAGGAAAGATATATTATTTCCCTATCCCTTGTATATACTCAAAGAAAGGATGAGTATTTGGAGAAAAGGAGAGAAGGGATGAGAAGTAGCCACTGGATTTACAATGTAAAACTTTGGCATGACCTGTGTTGGTAATGTCTTAGGAGTGGTTTAAGCCAGATTGGCAAATCTGTATTTTTGGCAACCTGCTTCCGAAGCATAAAACTTGTCATATGATGGATATCCAAAGCATTGGAGCCACCTTAGTGACGAATCTGGCACACTATGCACTGATTATTCTGGCCGTATACATGGCTGTGAGCATGAGTTATTTTACTACATAAAGAGATGCAGTAGACTCCCCTTATGTGTGGGGACTTAGGCACCCTAGTGTATGCCTGAAACTGCAGATAGTACCAATCCCTATATAATCCCTATATGCACTGCTTTTTCCTATACATACATACCCATGATAAAACTTAATTTATAAATTAGAAACAATAAAACATTAACTGTAATTAATAATAAAATAGAACAATTATAACAGTATAGTATAATAAAAGCTATGTGAATGTGATCTCTCTCTCTCTGTCGCTAGATGTCTTATTGTCCTGTACTTTCCTCTTTTCGGGCTGCAATTGACAGGGAGTGATTGAAACCAAATTGAAACCGTGGATAAGGGAGGAGACAACTGTACGACTTAGATTTTTTCTATCTAAAAATCTAATTTTAATGTAATTTGATAGATTTTAGATTTTTCAATGGTGTTATCAACCTTTTAATGGTTTATTCTTTTGGTTTC